TGTTCACAACTTGACAGAAATAAGTTTTCACCTTCATCTGCTCAAAGTTTTCAAACCCCACTTACCCAAGTGGAAGTCCTTTGAATGTCCCATCGCACCACACACAGACCTCGCTGCTCTTTATACTCTCCCACCTGCTCTGAGTGAAAAGCTTCGCGATTGGCTGACGACTATTACTATAGTTAAGGTTTTGTAAAGTCTAATAACANGTCATTTTTTGTTTCTTTTTTACTCTTTTTTTCCCTCTGACTTTGACTTTACACCTTCATTATGCAGCATTTTTGTTCTTTTGACCTTTTTAAAATCCAACCCGTTTGGGATCTGGGAGAACTATACACAGTCTAGGGGGTAGAACTCAGGTGGAAATACTCTTTTTGAGATTTTTGGAGTTGCAAAAACTTTCACAATTATGGCATAAATGAAATCAACTGTAATGAATTGTGTGTTGGTAGTGGAGATGTAAAAAGTGTACAATTTCTGTCTTAGACTTTTGAAAGGTAATGAGCTCAAAATGCTGTTTTATTGGCAGTTCTCATAAAATTACCTGCACTGAACTACAGACCAGGCAGCAAAACTCTGCATCAGGCTCCTGGTCGAGATATGAAACCTAAAGAGATTGTGTGTTTGCATTTGCTAGTCTTTTATTTAAACTCATATTTCTGCATTAAGTGCTGTTTCTGCCGATTGTCTCTTTTTATTATTATTTTGTACCATCTGTACTGACCAAAGCTCATTTAAGAATTACCTCACAAATTTCTCTCATTTTTTCTGCTTCTTCTTTTACATTTGCTGCCATTTCTTCTTGAGACGGCACAGAGAAGAACCTGAAACTTCTGCAGCTGATTACTTTTGGTAAACTCAAGCACATTTTAGCAATATTAGTCAATTCATGATTTTTTACTTTCTGTCTGAACTGTTTCTGTTGTTTCTGTTTGTTTTTGCAGCAATGGCTCATCTAAATTCAATTACATTTTACTTCTATAGGGCCAATAACACATAAAAAGGCCGCTTTACATAAGCCAGAGCCTGATAGTGCAGCACTAATTGGCAGTGGCAAGGAAAACGTCTTTTAACAAGAAGAAACCACAGCTCATAATAGGGGGTGGGGGGACCATTCTGCTTGAGCCAAGTCAGGTAGAGAGATTAAAAAACACAAGGATGGGTCCAAAGAGAAGGAAGGAGGAGAGATGCTGCCCTCTTGGCCAGGTGTAACCTTCTGTGACTTTTATTTTGTGACATAACGAGGCCAAAAAAAAATCAAAATAACCGCAACAAAATGATCTCTGGTCTCCTTGTGATTCACTTTGTAGGCTTGTGCTTTATAAATAGAGTTATAAGGCAAAAAAATAATGCAGATTAGATGCCAAAATTACCTTGGTTGGTCGGTGTTGGGGCTGAAACACTGAATATGTGTTTGAATGAAGTACCTTCAGCGCTGAAGAGGCACCATTTTTAACCATTCAACCATCCTCAAAAGCACTTCTTCGTATCATAATGTGTAACAGCTTATACTGCTTAACTTTTTATTGAGGACTTCCGATGCTGAATTACAATGAGATCACACACACACACACTCGGACACACACACACACACAGTTATCCCGTCCTTGTGTGCTGCGGTGACATGCAGCCTATACACACACGTCTTTGTCAGGCCGTTCTTTGTGGACTTGTACCTTTTCAGGGGAGCCATTCTGTCCCTCAGTGGGACCACCAGTGAGTTAGAGAAGCTGCCAAGTCGGACTCTGGCACTAATTGGCTACACTATTAGAGGCCCACAGAGCCACACTTAGACTACAGAAATAAGCTCGTCAGTGTGAGGATGGAGTTTGGGCACGGTGCCTGCGTGAATGCATGAGATGCAGAGAGAGAGAGATTTCTAATTAGGGGTCTGTGATGAACATGAGAAACCTACAGAAGCAGTTCAGAACCCTCCACCCCGTGCAAGACTCACATGCGCACACACTTTTTTTTTTTTTGACCAGGGCGGTTAATTGGTTGGATGGTGCTGGTGTTTGTGGTGTTGGTGGGGAAGGGGGCGAGGAGGAGGAGGGCGGGTTGGGTTGGGGGGGCTTTTGTCTGATGCACTTCAGC